GATGTATTATTTGTAGGTGAAATCATTTTTATTAACATTTTATTAAGTCAACATCTAGTGCGCCCAACCTGGAAAGGGAGATGATGCTTTAGCGTCCAAATTTGTTAATAAAATTTTGTTAATAATTCTTTTTTTTTTAATTTAATTATTAAATAAATAAATAAATAAAACGAAATAACATTTATTCCTTTAAATATTACAACACAATTAGCAAAGACATCATCACAATTAATTATAAAGAAATAACACATAATAACATAACAATTAATTAGAAACAGCAAATATTTATAAAGAGTGCAATGCTGACCGGATAAGGTTTCACTCAGCTTTGTATGCTGGATGTACCTTTCTGGACCACTCAGCGCTGATCTTCCGTGAAACCCAGTGTTATCCACACGCCAGATACAGCGGTGGAAAGCCAACCATAAACGTAAATCTTAAAACTAATATGTTATAAAAGATAAAACAATTTTGAAACGATTTTTTCACAATATAATTTTTAATTTTTCTTTTTTTTACGTCGAATATCTATACATTGTATGTGCCAATTAAGGGAATATTTTGTGTGGTAACGATATTATTTTCTTTTCAAATTCGATCTACGATCAATGAAACTCAAGTCTAAAGTAATCTTCGTTTTAGCCACAGTTAAATTTCATTATCTTAAAAGCCTTATCCTTTTTATAAATTTACCTTGAAAAAGTCGAATCTTGTTAGAGATCCTTAAAAAGGCGTTACCTTAGAAAGTAAAAATATTGAATAGAACATCGTATCTCTTAATTTTGTAAGATAGGTATTATTTTAACCTTCAAATATATTTATATATATTTTTATATCTTGAGGTGGCAAACGAGCGAGCGGCCACCTGAAATCGCTGATATATCGAAGTGACCGTTGCCCATAGGCATACGCAATTGCACATGCGTTGCCTACCTTTAATGGACGGAGAAGAAGATGCACAGAAAGAAAATATTTCCCTTCCCATACATCCTCTAATCCGGAAAGTCCACTTCCACTTCCCATCCTTTCCTTATAAGAAATAGTATGGGAACGGAAAGAGGACTAAATTAGGCCTCCGGGACGCACACTCATCAGACGAAATGCGGAATTGCTTGCACTTGACGCCTGTCTTCTGTGTAGTCGTGATATTTCACCGGGCGAACCTGCCAATTCGTGCGAATATGTTAAAGCGGGCTCTACCACTGTTTAAGCGCCAAAAAAATGTGCCTAACCGTTGGTTCCTGAGACCAAAATCTCTGTATAAAACATATTGTCATCTCTTTCATTATTTTTAACAAAGCAGAAATACAAAATGTTTTAAACGGTGACTTTAGTTGCTGAATCCAAAGACAAATCATTTAAAAATATAAAATCTTCCATGAATACCTATGCAATACTTTTATACAATGTTTAACCAAAGAGGTTACGTATTCTATTTTAACCTTTTTACTATTTTTTCTTTTAATAGCTAAACAAACGCCTCCTGGTATTTAAGAATGTTGATATTTAACCTTTAATTATCCTTGGACCCGCTTTAGCGATGCTTATTCACGTAAACCCGTATCCTGATCAAAATGATTTCACGAGATGTAAAGTGGGTCAAGTCCTCATACGCTTAGACGATAACAGATTCGACTCGTTTACAAAACGCTTTTGATGTTTTAACGAGTCAATATAAATAATATGATATTTAACAAAACAAATATGCCTATTAAAGTATCCTGCTCGTAAAGTTTATTAGCATTTTATTGCGTCATATCCCGTGGTTGATTTCAGATAATCGTTTGTAACAAATGTGGAAGAAAGAAAGCATCAACTTTGTTTATGAACTTTATATTTATGATCAACTAGCTGTCGCCCGCGACTCAGTACACAGGGTACTAAAAAACCTTATTAGTAGCCTATGTATTGCCTAATTTCTGCGGGAACCGTCAGATATCGTTCTGGAGATACCTTAAAATCAATATCCATTCATCAAAAATCACTAAAGTAGATGCTACAGAAAAAAATTATGCATCCAAATGTGTGGCAATTATTTTTTCCTGTAATTTTCTAATGCAATTTGTTAATACATTTTTAACTTGAAACAGGAAAATATCATGAAGTATACATACAATACAATGCTTTCTAAATAATGCAACTTGTTTGTATTCAAATAACGTAAAGGATCTTCTTCCAAAGCCAGCATTTTGGCAATAAAATGTTTTCGGTTGATTGCGACATTCGCTTTACGACCTTGCTCCATATTAAAGCTTATATCAAATACTGAAACTATTTTATTTTGTATTGCACATAAGTAGCCTTAAAAAGATCATTGTCAATGTTAAATTCTCGCCATTTTCTAATGAGGTATAGGGATTTGGGTTTGACAGGAAAGACGTATCATCATCATCAGCTCACTATACGTCCCCACCGAGGGGCTCGGAGCCTAACCTAAGTTAAAGGTGATGAGGCTATAGTCGACCACGCTGGCCAAGTGCGGGTTGGTTGACTTCATACATATCTTTGAATTTCTTCTCAGATATGTGCAGGTTGCATCACGATGTTTTCCTTCAACGTAAGAACGTCGGATAAATGTACATATGTAAATCGTAAATCGAAAAAACTTATTGGTACATGGTGTGATTTGAACCCAGGAGGTAAAGTAAGTAGTAAAGAGGTTATATATGTGAATGAGAAATGTTCTTTTTCTACACATATTCTCTTCGTCCCATTAGAGTTAAGTTACATTGAATTGTAACTTATTGCGGATGCTTATAGGCAGAGGACACGTCGCTTGATTATTTGCCACAGATTAGTATAATAAATAATTATGAAAATCATTTAAAATCTCTTTAAAAAAGAATACTGGTTTAAACCAGATTAAAGGTTAATGAAGATCAAAATAAAATAATCAATACATTCATATTATCTTTAAATATGTACGTATACATATTTTACATCATATAATAAAAAGTTCTACGAACATTGTCCAAGAAAAACAACTAAAAATAAAAATGAACACGAGAAAAGTATGTTACTTACCTGAAACTGAAAACTACTCGAGTATCTGGATGTGCTCAGAAGTTAACAGCTTTCCCTTACTTTATTTAATGTGTATCCATTAAGCCTTATTGGTTTTAGGACT